GAAGGACACGACAGTCTGCAGGCGGAAAACAAGCTGACGCACCAGGGGCCTGAACGCACCACGTAACTGAAAGCATCATGATCCCTGAACGCATCATGTAGCTGAACGCACCAGGGCCCTGAACTGCATCATGGTCCCTGAATGCATCGTGTTCCTCAGTGTATTAGGTCCCTGAACGCATCATATACCTGACTGCATCATGTCCCTGAAGGCATATTAATCCTTGATGGCATCATGTAGTTGAACGCATCAAGTCCTGAATACATCAGGTCCCGCACTGTATCAGGGCCCTGAACGCATTAGGTCCTCCATTCGATCGGGTTCGGTCCGAACCGGTCTGTAGAACCGAGCCTGAGCAGGTGGCCCAGAGGAACCTGCTCCCTGCTGCCCACTGCTGGAACTGCAGCTAAACTAAGTTTACGCTTCAGGTCACACGATTCTGGTTCTGGTCTTGGTCTGGGTCTCCTCTCGGCTTCCTTTGAAGCGCCGTTGTCATGGTTACCTTCCTGCGTCGGTCCCTGTCCGGTCCAGTTGGGTCCAGGGACGACATACTGAAGGTCCTACAAAGACAGACAGGCACTGGTCACATGACCTACCGGTTACCATGGCGACGTTCTGACGGTCCAGCAGCGGTTCTGCAGGAGGTCCTGATTAACATCTGCTGACTCGGGTTCCCACGGATCAGAACCGCCGGGTCAGCAAGCTGAGTCAGAACCGCCCGCAGCGCCGCCATACTGGCCCTCTAGTCGCCATGGCAACCTGGCTGCTCAGCCGTCTGGTTCTGATCGGAGACGGTTCTGCTGCTGACTGGAACCGGACCGGCTGACCTACGGATTAGAACCACAGTTTCCCCCTGCCGGTTCTGGTACCACCTGCACTGGACCCAGTTTCTGTTCTGACCCAGAACTGCTCCGGTGTCAAACCCACCTGCTAGAACGGAGTGGTTCCGGTTGGGTCCAGTTTGTTTCTGGTTGGGTCCAGTTTGTTTTTGGTTGGTTCCGGTTGGGTCCAGTTAGTTCTGGTTGGTTCCTGGTGGGTCCAGTTGGGTTCTGGTGGGTCCCCGTGGTTCCGGTTGGGTCCAGGTGTGTCCTGTCTCAGAGCTCGTCTCAGACCCAACTGGATCAGAACCGACCCTGAAGCAGACAGCTTACCTATCAGGTGTGTGTTCCTCTACCTCACCTGGAGCTCCGCCCTCTCACATGTAAATTGCCAGCCAATCAGGCTGCAGAGGTTCTGGTTCTGGATGGGTTCTGCCCACTACCCTGATGCTCACCTGAGAGCCTGATGACTCCAGGTTCTGCTGCTGGCTCCGCGCACCTCCTCCCTTGGTAACCGTGTTTCCATGGCAACCTGTCTGAGAACTGGACCGGTTCTGCCAGTGTGTCCAGTCGTAGAAGAAACCAGTTATGACCTGGTTCTGATCTACACAGTATCACAGCTGAAAGGAGGTTCTGGTGTCATTCTAGAACCAGGATCAGCATCAGAACCAACAGGTCCGCTGGAACCCATAGGTTCAGACCGTGGCGATTCTGGAGCCCAAGAATGTAGCAGTTTTCAGGAGTCAGAAACGGATCAGAACCAGAACCAGTCCAAACACAGCAACTGGTGAACGGCTGAAACCCAGAGCAGAACACAACCCGGCCTGGAGTTCTGTAGATCCACGAGCAGGTTCTGATCCGATCAGAACTCAGAACCGTGATGAATCCGTCCAATCCTGCCGAGCCTCCACATGGTTTGTGTTTAACAGGAAGTTCCACTGAAGGCAACTTCCTGTTGTCCTGCAGCGTTCTGAGGCAACGATCAGTCGCACGAACAACCGAGTCTGATTCAAACAGTTTTCCATGAAAGAAGTTCAGTTCAGTTCAGCTCAGCTCAGCTCAGCTGCTCCTCCCAGTTAAAGATGGCCGTCCCTCTGTTTTGTTTTGTTTTTATTAAACATTTTGGACAATTATACAGAATCACGTGGCAGGTATGTACTGTACATGAAGAAGTCATATCTTATAGGCTTAAGGCACACATAAAATTATGAGATAACAATAAAAAAGTAAAATAAAAATATAAATAAATACAATTTGTCAGACATCAAACAGAAAAAGACAGCCAGTTCATTATCAGCTGCATTCCCTGCTTGTTCTCCATCAGTTTTAAGGCTCTGAAAGTTTTTAAAGGCAAGTTTTCTATTTCCACATTTACAGGATCAACAGGTTGTTCAGTACCAGGTCGGTTCTTCTGCTCCAAATATTACATTCTCTGTTTTTAAGGGTGAGAGTAAGAGTTTAGTTCAGATCCCCCAAAAAAATCCTCAATAATGCTTTTCCATCCAGGGAATTTTTACCTCAAAGTTTCAGCTTTGACTCCAACAGCTGGAGTTCTCAAAAATGACTCCCCCAAAATGAATTCCATTTCTCAGGAACTACAAGGTGTATTTGATTGGTTCAGGTATCAAAATAGCACTGTTGGTGGTTTGTATTTTGTTTTAAATGTATTTGCACTTTGTAAAGTTTTTTTTGTTTGTTTGCATGTACCTCACGGGTTGCCATAGCTAATGAGGGCAGCCCTATAAAAGCTGGCAAATCATTGTACCAATGAATGACTAGAACAAACTGTCAAAGATGTGCTTGGCACTATCAACACTTGGTGTTCCCCGGTGAAAGCAGCGAGGTACGTTTTATTTTGTTGTTTGTGTTGTAAGTTTCTGTTTATATTCTGTGTATATCTGTTTAGTAGTGATGGGCAGATGAGGCGTCATGTATCGTTTCGACACAAAGCAAAACTGTGTCGATACTGTGTCACTGAATACTGACTCCTGCTGGACATCAAAAATTCCTACAGGCAACGTAGTGATTTGATGACCTAGTCCAGGGGTTCCCAAACTTTTTGCTGTGAGGGCCACATAACTTTTCCCTTCTCTGCTGGGGGCCGAGTCAGTTTGTAACAGAAAAAGTGTGACGACTGCAGGAGACTAGATGTAAAAATGTACTGTTTTCCAGAAGGGACAATAAAATAACCCTCTCTGGGTTCTTCACAGAAAAAATCCAGGAAGGATTGTAGTCCGTATTTTCCGGACTATAAGCCACAACCCCAAAGTTGTTTTAAAAAGAAAACCAGTTGTTGCTCCTCTCGAGTTAAATCAAAGCTTAACGCAGTTCTTGGTTTTCAACAGCCATTTATTGTGGACACGTCTTGCAAAGTCCCCAAAAAATCCCGTCAGAACTACAAAAAAGGTAACACAAACCTAAATCAGTTCACAATAAATGGCGTATTTACATAAATAAAAGATACAAATAAACAAAACTGTACCTCATTAGCCGCATTGACTCCAGAGGAATAAATCTTAATTTCTTACAGCTTCTTCAGTTTGAATGCCCATGTGGCTCTAAGTGCGCCAGCCAATGCTTCCCTGGGCAACACGTGGTCTGCGGAACAAAACAAAGGTTCCCTCTCCACATTTGAATATACACTTAACATAAATTCAATAAAATTACCTCACAGTTAAACTTAATGTTTTATATTAAATAAAATCTAACTATTGCCACCTTAAAATAAACCAGATGCAATTGTTTTGACAGCAGCTACACCAGTAAACCTTCACATATAAGCCGCAGATTTCTCTGCTGCTCCAGGTTTTCCACAGCGATGCAGCAGCAGCAGAGACACCCAACATCTGAGTCATAACAGGTCAACTGAATATCACCTTTATTACAGTTGAAAAAGAAAAAGGTGCCAAGTTTAGATTTAACTGAACTGATTACGGTAGTTTCTGAACGGAAACTGTAACAGTAAAAGTGCTGATCCTTTGTGTTGCTACTAGCATGTGCTAAATGAAAATGGCCGCTTTCTTCTTCTTCTGCTGCTTGTTCTTCTTTAGATTCCAACGGCAGCTTGCAGCCATTATTGTTGCACTACTGCCATCTACTGGATCCTAATATCTGTACCTCAAATTCTCATAATGATCCCAGTATTATTTAAAACAAAACTAAAAATCTTCTTTTTCCCTCAATGCCATTTAACTGATCAGCAACATTCTCAAATTTCAATTCCCTACTAAAACCTAATTCCATTTTAATGGGCGCTTTCTTCTTTTATTTCCAATTTTGACTTCCATTTGATTAACTTCCTGCTAAAGAGCCCCCTGGTGGTTGAAGAAAAATCCACATATAAGCCACACCAGGCTATAAGCCGCATGGTTCAAAGCTTAGGAAAAAAGTAGCAGCATATAGTCCGGAAAATACAGTATATGAAAAAAAAAATCTAAATGCTCTCTGGTATTGTTCAGGGGACCGGACCAAATGTGGAGGCGGGCCGGATCCGGCCCAAGGGCCGTAGTTTGGGGAGCACTGGCCTAGTCCATACAATAAGTATTTGTATGTTGTATTTTATTGAATATTATATATTGCATTATGTCATTTTCAGTTAAATTTAAAATATATTTGATATACAGTCAATAAAAAATGTGAACATGAACCATAAAGTGAAAATTTAAGTGAATGTGTATCCTTGTGGACTCCCCCCCCCCCCCCAAATTTAAATAAAAAAAAAAAATTTTTTTCAACATTTTGAAATTTATCCTTACGCTTTTTTCACAAAACTTCTCTTGCTGTAGAATAAAATGAAGTAAACACAACATTTACAGCGAACCCTTGTTTTTCTTAGGGTTGTGTTCTGAAAATAACCCGATAGGCGAAATTCGTGAAGTAGTTACCTTTATTTTT